GGGAGCCCGGCCACCACCGCGGCCGCCGCACCGGAGACATTCGCCAGCGGCCTAGCAGGGGATGTGCCACCTGCTGCGGGTGGACAAAATCCTGCGCCGCTTTGGGGCATCGTTCCGGGATTGATGTTTTTTATGTGGTGCAGGATTTCGTCCATCCACAGTATTGGCTCCCAAAAGAGTTCCCTCAAGAAAAGAAGAAAAGGACAAACCCAGCAGTGACTCAAAGGTTGGTAAGCTCACAAGGTGAGAAAGGTCCGACTGATTTGACCTTCTGAAATGACAACCTACAAGCACGATGCTCGGGCGAGATTTGCACCACCTGGCTGGGCCTGTCTGTTTGAGGGTACCCTGCAAATTTGGGCGGAGGAAAGCTGTTGCGCTGTTTTGGCGGGTCCCTGCAAAAGAAACACGCACACACACAGCCTGCCGTCTTGGACGCGTGCAATAGGCCTCAAAGGCGAGACTCGGATGCGGCCCACTTTGTAGAAGCCGAATTCGTTGGCCTCGGAAAAGTTGGTCAAGCCAACGGCGACGTGCGCAAACCCCGTCTTTTGGCGTCCGAGATGTTGTCCCTATGTCCAATGGGCGTAGCGGCGTAACATTGGGGCCCACGCTAATCTTGCTGGTGCTCAGTCGGGAATGGCCCAGAGTTTTGGGAATGAACCTGGGGATTCCCTTGAAGGAAACCATCCCATAGGGATGGGTTATAGGGGTCTCCAGGGAAATTGCAGAGGAGTAATGGGTTCCCGAATCATCTCTCCAACAGGTTGATGAATGCATGCAGAGGCATTTCTTACTCAGCGCTTGTGCTGACCATTGGCAGCAAAGGCAGCTCCGGATGAAGGTCCTTCGCACTGACTGTCGCCTCAGCGGGTTTCTTCGATTCGAGGCAGCTTTCCGGTGGAAAGGCTTGCGACTTTAGGTTCTAGGTTTGCCTTTGTTTCTTGGATTGCGCTCCCCATTCACGATGGCCAGAGGACAATTGCCAACAGGAGAACTTTGCTTGGGGGCGGGATGGGAAGCAACTCACCCGCCACACTTTTCCTAAAGATGAAAAAGCAACACAGACACTGTAGCAGGGTGTGGGTTAAAATCGGTCTCAAAATGGAACCCTGGTAAATGGAACCAAGGATTAAAACCTGCGTCTCCAGTTGGGTCTCAAAATGGAATCCTGGTAAATAGAACCAAAGATTAAAACCTGCGTCTCCAGTTCAATCCTGATCCATCATATGATAGCTACAGCAGGTCCACCCTTCTCAGCCTGGCTGCAGTAGCACACATCGAACCACTGAGATGTTGGGAAGCCGCTGGTGAATCCAGGGCCTGGCCGGCTGAGTCCCCGAGCCCCTGAGTCTCCGAGTCCCCGCGCCGGAATCCCGGAAGGCTGGGGGTTTTTCTGTCCGCAAAATAGGGGGCCCCCAAAACCTGCGCACTGCCTGTTTGATTTCCCTGTTAAACTCCACCCAACAAGGGAGCCCTCAAAGAAAGACACCCTCACATGTAGACATGCGCATTGAAAATTTGCTCTTACCCTTCCCTCCCACGTCCCGGTCTTTGGCAATTTGAACAAAGGCGGGAGATTCGCAAGAGGGCTGAGCTCTACAAAGAGAATATGGAGGGCGGCAGAGTTTGAGATGTGTTTTACAGGTGATACGGGCCCCGGGTGACTTCCCCCTAAAACCGCTGAACCCGGACGGAGGACTGTTGGCTTGGATGTAGATGGCTCTAAAGGCTCATGGTTACTTATAGCATCTCATAGCCCTAGCTGGGAGCCGGAAAGAACCATAGCCCTCAGACCCTCAAACCCCACGAACGGAACCCGCCTAGAGCCAGGCCGCCGAAGAGCTCCACCTCCTCGGTGCCTCAGCCACCGATCCCTCGATAGAGATCCGAATCCGCCGGGCCGGGCCCCGGCCGCTGCGCTGGCCCGACCTGGCGCGGAAGCAGCCGAGGGATGTGGCTGTGCTTGTCATTTGACCGTTTTGGGATCCCATTTTGGGTGGTAGGTGAATTCACCACCCACTTTAGGACCTATTTTAGTGGGGATTGGGATGTTCACTGGGACGCACGCCAAGAAAACAACACTCGCACCCCACAGGCAAACTCACTTGCATCGCCGCAAGCGGAATTCTGCGCGGGCGGACATCCAATGCTGCGTTGAGCTTGCCGCAAGGCGACAGCCAGCACTTGGTTGCCAAGATGGCCGGTCGTTGGCACCAATCCTTGGAATACCAGGAATCAAACTTCCGGGAAACCAATCTGAGGGCAACGCTCAGAAGCCTAGTGGCAACGGCAAAAGAAAGGTACCATTTGTTGTTGCTTGGTTTCAAAGTGGACACCCCACTCGGGGTATTGGGAACATTGTGCGCATCCAAAGCCATGGGTGACCGCTGCAGCCCCCGTGCTCGCTGTGCTTTTCATAGCTCCGCACCGTCGCATCGTTTCAGGTGGCCCTTGAGAGATGCCCCGAATTGCTGACAGCGAGTTGGGCGCAGTCTGACAGTGAGTATGCCCCAAATAGATCCAGCGCAAACCAAAAACGGCTTGATTCCGGGCACCTGGACAAGGACCTGTGAAATGGCGGCGCTCCGTTGGAGACAACTGCTCTTCGCAGTCGGCATTGAACTTCTCCGAAAAGTCGCGAGTCAAGATTCGGGAGCCCATCGACGTGTTGGCCAAAGGCGAACGGGTTCGAACTGCTTCTTTGAGGGTGCGGATGCTTGGTGGCTTTAAACGCAGTACCACATGATCTTAACAAATCTATGTACTTATCTTCTGGAGTGTCTCCAAAAAATGCACACCCAATTAGGTTCCATAGGATCTGTTGTGTCCGAAACGGACTCACTGACCGAATGTATTGGAACCTGTGGGTCACTTGATGGGCCTCCCCTGAAATGCAGCAGTAAGAGTCTTCGGCTCACTGACCGCTCCAAGGAGGAGCACCGAGCGCCAAGCGCCATGCGTACCCAGACTTGGGTGAAAGTGTGCGCGCCGGGTTCTTCAAAGGTCAAGATGGACCCTTGACACTGTGTGGCTGTATCATCTGAAGATTCGCCGGCTGGGTGTTTTGAGGCAACAAGGAGCTGCTGAGCATGTCACCTTCATTCGCAGAAATCCCTTTCATTCCATACCCTGCGAGACTCACATTTTGCTGCAATCGTGAGCATCTCAGCCACACAGTGTGGTGTGTGTGTGAGACAAAAGCACGTTTACCAGCGATTACTAGTGGCTGGCGCTGACGTATGCCTTTGTACCTGCCATCGCTCCGGCGAAGGGTCCCCTCGCGATCAGCCTACCCCTAGGTTGGACTCGAGATTCTTTCTTTTGCGACCTCTTCTTGGACCCGGAACCCCACATCCAAACAAGGCCGTGCAACGGCCAAAGTGGCGAGAGGACCCTCTGACCAACTCTTCTCATGAGTGAGCATGCGCAGGCACTGTTGCCCCCTACCAAAGACTCGGGGGTGGGTTAATGGTTTGTTCATATTGGCGGAACCCCTGAGTCAGGTCTGGGCCAAACACAAGATGGGAAAGTGCCGAGGGTCGGCTGCCTCGCTTGCGCTCGGCAAAGGGCAAGCTTTGCGTGCGAGCATCTCTCGGCGCAAGCGCAAAATGTGGCCGAAGCATGGTCCAAACAAAACACATGCGCCTGACCCTATGAGACCGGCTTTGTGTGAGACAGTTGTCCCTCTCTGCGCCCAGTGGCCTTGCAAGTGATCCAATTGCTTCATCTGGCAAGAACAGGCCAGTAGGCTGGCCATCAAGCCTTGCTTCTGCCAGAAGAGACAACCCAAATGTCCCATTCACAACATCGTGACATCGATGTCACTTGCCGAGGTCCACAGGTTGGCCCCTACTACACGAGCCAAATCGGGCGCCCCAGGAGGTTTGCAGCTGGCGCGTCCAACAAGTGCAGCTGTCAAAGCCTGGACATCCGGCTGGATCTATCCAACTTCTTCGCCACGCTGCAAACGGGGCCGACTCCAAGTAGCGGACACAGAGTGACAAAGGGGCACCCGCGACGAGCAACCGTCACCAGGTCAGTTGCCTTTGCGTTGGGGGGCAAGGCCTCTGCCCCCATCTCTCAAATGGCCTTGGCAGGACAACGTGCAGGTTCCACGATGCGTCAATCAGCCAGCCGGAGAGGTTGAGAACTTAACTCCATCTGCGACGGAAAACTGGCAAACACAGGACTCAAGCCGAAATGGCTCGCACAAACACGCAGTGGCCGAAAGCATCCGGCTTGAGTCGATGTCTCGGGCTGGGCCCTGGCGAAAAAAGTGGCCAATTGCCAACTCAGATCCTTGTCCCATTTCGATCCGAGCCCGCAATCCCTTAGACTGGCACTGGGCCAGCCTCGTTGGCTTAGCGAGCTTCGTTGTGCAGCGCTTCGCCCCAACATTCCCTTCAACTGTCGCGGTTCAGCGAGAACTTGTGCACCAATCTGGACAAGTGTAGTATGTCAAATTACAGCGATCAATGAACGACTAAACAAAGTGTGGTTGCTCGCTTCGGGCGCGCAGGCTGCGCTTTGAGCGGCTGCCGGTCTCTGACTTTTGCCACAATAGAATTGAATAGCCCGTCTGCCTTCGTGTCGCAGTCACAGGCATGCCCCCTCCCGTCTCTACCGATAGGATTCTATTGTATAGGCCTTGTAGCCCAAAGACCAATGCGCGCGATAGGGTGATTCTGCTCTCCAAACAACAATCCAGTGTTTGCTTCGGAAGATGGATGCCAATCGAGCCCTGGGCCCATTGAATTCGCTGCGTTTGAGATAACACTGTTCAGCTCAACACTCAGCTCGTCACCCTGGACGTCACAGTGGGACACCCGCATCGCTCATAGATCGAAAGTATACCTTTCCACTGAGCTGAGACAACCCAGAACGGGTTCGCTCACCGCGCCATTGCTCCTCCTTAGCTGGTCAAGTCGGGCTGGAGCTTTCGGAGCGGTGGAACTGGGGGGAGCACATGGGAACACGGGGGCACGTGCGCAAACTTGGCTCCCAAGCCAAGCCGATCAACAGGGCGAGATTGTTTTTGAACGCGTCAAGGTCCGCATCTCCCTCACCTCTTGACTCTTCATTCCTTGGAAATCGTGTTATGCCCCCCACGTTCCTTTCACGCCCAAGTTATGGCTACTTTCTCAGAGTTACCCTAAAAATTAGCTGCTTAAATCACACCAACCTCCGAGCGTGATTCTCCGACCCCACCAAACAACGACCACTTCAATGGGTGTATGGCGCGTGGAATGGGGATGGACTCCAAGGGTTCGTTCTTCAGCTGCGGCTCCGAGATTTCTTGGCCTCGTGCTGCATGCGGTTCCTCCGGGCCCTTGCTTCTGCCGGAGTGCATAGATGGCAATGAGAGCAGGCGTCCCCCTGGCAAACCATCATTTTAAGCCCGTCGCGGTTCACTCGTTCGAATTCGATTTCTGGACAGGATGGCACAAGCAACCCGGCGTCAAAAGTCGGGGCAAGATTGGGAAGTAAATGGCCGGAGCCAGAGACTCTTGCAGCGGCGGCGCTGGAAGTTCCAACATAGAAGAACTATAGCTCTCTTCCTCTTTCCTCTTTTTGTGTCTCTCTCCCTTTTTTATCTTTCTCTTTTTCCCATGGCTCTTTCCCTTTCTGTCGCTCTTCGTCTTCTTCCCTTTCTCTTTATATTTCGCTTATTCTATGTGTCCATTTCTCTTTCTATCTACCTGTCACTGACCCCAGTTCTCTACAGAAACTGCCAAAAGTCTATTCATCGACTGTCTTCTTTCCTGAATAACAAGATCATGCACTTCCGAACGCAAACACGCGTTCGACTTCTCAGCCCGTTCCGTCTACCGAAAACGGGCCTTTCGGCAGCCATCCTGCTTGCGAGTGAAGTACAAGCACGGGATGCACTTCTTGGAAATGTGGAGCGTCACTTTCTCTGCCGCCGTCAATTGCCTCGAACAGATTTAGGACATTTAGGAAAAGCTGGCAAACAAGCTCAGGAAACAATCTGAGCCAGAAGGTCATGAAGCCTTTGAACATGCCAGTGGGTATCTTTCAGCCGGGTCATTGCAGTCTGGACGTTGTCCTTACAGACTTACACACTTACAGCCTGAAAATGGGCCTCTGCTTTTGCCAGGAAAGTAAAGCACCGGCCACTGCAGACGCCACTTCTCAGCAACCCGCGGCAACGCGGTATACAACCGGCTGTGTCTCAAAACGAAGGGCGCCCCAAAACTTTGGTAGAATTGAACGCAGGTGAAATCCCATTGGTTGGACCCAAAGGCCAACTTGCGCCTCTCTTCGTCTTTCTCGCTTGCAAGTTCTTCGGGGCGCTGAACGAGGACCTGCCAAGTTTGGCTCCCCATGCCAAGTTTTTGCAGCCGGGCAGTCATGTCATTTCAAGATCCAGACACAAACAAAACCTCGACTTCTTGCTTGGACATTGCCCGTCCTTAACCATGTTTTCTGAAATGCCTGTGGTTGCAAACTAACTGTACGCACTATGTCACTAGCAGTAGCCATCTTAGTCTGAGACGCGAGGGAGCTGTCAAACAGGTTCTACTAACATGGTTACAAAGGCTTATATTGGGCTTTGCGATGACCCCAATGAAACCAGGTAGTAGAACCATCCACCGAAATGGGTGGAACAAAAATCCTCATTCCGCCAGCGGTCTATGTCCATGTCCTTGCTCCCAAAAACCTGACGTTGAACCGCCAAGAGGCCCTGGTACGTTTGAAGCACGGAAACATGTCTTGCATAGAATAAATATGTCCAAAGCCTTCTGCCTTGTCAAAGCTTCCTGACATGCCGGAGCTGGCTGATTGATCTCACAAGTTGCTGTTGCTCCTGGCCGTCCGCAAGAAGCTCTGTTGCACAATGCTACTGAGAAACGGCACTTTGCGAGCTGCTAATGCAACAGGGATCAGCAAGACCAGGTAGTCGTCTTGAGAGCCAACAGGGCCAAAACCCGAGGAATTTCCAACCTCCGAGAGGTCGTGCGTCTCCGGCAGCGGCAAACCTTCCAGCTCCGGCTGAGCTTTGTGTGGCGTGGATTCTCTCGGGTCTGTCTAGCACCTCTCACCTGGATTATCAAAGACCACTCAAACGCATGGTTTGCTGATGTGCCACGTTGATTCCCTTTCAAAGCTATTTCTGAAAGAGTCCAGCTTCGTCCAAACACGCAGGCGTCTCGCAAACTGCACGCCCAAACAACGCTGCCTGGAGGAGGAAAATGCAGCACAGCAGGGAAATCCTGCATGTTCCTCGGCACCGGTTCTGAGCTGTCAAATGATGAGTGTGCTGTGGAAACACACACAGACAGTAACCCACACACACACAGAGAAAGAGACACACACACACACACACCCACTAACACAGAGAAACACATAGAGACACACAGAGACACCTGGAGACACAGACTCACCTGCAGAAGCCTGCGCGGGTCCCGCAAATTGGCGTAGAAGTCGAAGGCAGGGTTGTGACACAGGGACTCAACACCAACTGTCGAACGATTCAAACCGAGAAAACAATCACAACAACAAACAATGTCCCGGGTTGCTTCACAGCACATCTGCCAGCCGTTTTCGTTGGGTAGTGGATGGTAGAGTGTGTGCTGACTTCCCCCCCTGAAAATAAAAATCTTTCAAGGAAGGAGGTCCCACTAAGGAAGCAGCCCCTTTCCGGTCGTCAGTGCAGACAGATCACACGCACGGAGTGGGGTCTCCCAATGCAACCCAACATGTGCACCTTCCCATTCGGCTGGTTGCTATATGAACAGGCACCCAAAAAACACCTATGGAGTTTCATAGGCACAGCTCCGCCTTGCCCACTTGCAACGCAGTGCCCAAGGCCCACAGGGCTCCAGTTCCATCATGTCTGGGCAGTCTTGGCCCACTGCGCTTGGTTGACATTGACCCTCGAAGAAGTTGGCCCACTGTCTGGCCAGTTGAAAACATTTCTCAATTCTTCGACCACGTTCTTCGGGCTTTCCTTTCTGGGATCATACTATACAACAGGAAGAGGGTGGGTTAGATAGGATGCTTTTTCCGTAGCCTTTCCGACCAAGACTTTTTTTACCACGGCGGAACATTGTGCGGGTCCCGGTGCTTTTTTGCTCGCATTCCAAGGCTTCGACGGCATAGCGCACTGTGTGTCCATGGCCAAAAGTGGTTTCGCAGAATCTGAGAGCGCTACTCTGAGCAAAAGGTTGCAGGGGCAATCGGAGCTCAACAGACAAGGGGCAACCGGAATTGGGTTTGACTCACGTGTTCAGGGGTTTCCAATTTTGAGGTGCCCGCTCCAACAGGAAGGGTTGACCGAAAAACTCCCGACCCCAAGGCAGCAAGCCTCAAACAAAAACACACCCGCATACACAACGCCAAACTCAACGCCCTAAGCAGGGGCGATCAACCAAGCACATGCCAGATTTGTGAACAACCAGCTCGGCAGCACACGCGCGCCTGAAGACACGCGCCTTGAACACGGGCACTGATTTAACGCGAGCCATCCGCAGAGTATGATGCTCTCGTCTAGGAATCATCCTGGTCTTCAGCTCCGGTGCTTGCTTCTTCCGCATTTACTCAGTGACCTCTCTTTGCCACCTTAGGCGCTGTTTTTTGCAGCTGCTCGCCAAAAATGATCTTGAAGCCTCACCGTCAACGCACGAGCCAGGCCCCCTTCCAGGGCTCCCGGCGCGCTGTGGTCGATGATCCTTGCAAGCATTTGCTGCGGTCATGAGTTACGAGCATTGGCCTGCACCCATTCTGATTTGAATGGTTCATGACTCTCTCCCGTAAACCCCATGACCATCTGATGGGATGCCGCAGCAGGTCGTTGAATTGGAGGGGGAATCAAATTCTCTGGAGCATCTGAGCTCACAACATACTGACATTCTAGTGGCTCAACTGGACGGCAACCTTTAGACGGATGGCAATTTTTGCCTGTGTTGATCTCAAGTAGCGTTCCGCCGCCCTTGATCTCTCCCCAGCCCCCTCTCTCCTTCATGCCAAAGTGTCAAAAGAAGTTTGACTCTTTCGAACAAGGACGCTTGAATACAGGAAAACATAAAACCAACCAGAGAGACGCATAGTGTTCATAGATACGCATGCGCCTTGGTTAAGCCCATGCTTTTTGGGCCATGGCCACGGCCATGTTTCCCTAGGCTGGTCTCAACCCCCTCCCCCGCAACCCCCCGACCCCGTCCTGATGCTTCCGTTACCGCTGCAGAAGGCGCCACCGCAGTCCAGGCGCAAAGTAAAGGGCGAGCTCGGCAGAACGCTTGCCTCGCGGCTTCGCTGACCAATTGGCCTGCTGACCGCGTGAAAATTATGAAATGCGTGCAGATGTATAAATTCAGGAACCCCCCACCCCAGCCGGAGTACTCAGGTTCTGGCCTAGATTTAGTTCCGCCTTGGTTCATGATGTCTTTTAGATGTCAAAAGTTCCTGTTTGACAAAGGCAGGCCTTTCAGAATTGAGCACGGCGAAAGACCCGCTCAAGTGCACCCGGTCAGCACTGCATCCACGTCCGCTTAAGCGCACCCAGTCAGCACTGCATCCACACCAGTGCACGCTAGGCACTGCATCCACGCCTGCGCACGCCAAGCAAACCAGCTCAAGCACATCCGGTCAGCACTGCATCCACGCCTGCGCAGACTAAACACATACGCTCAAGCGCATCCGGTAAGCACTCCACTTGCTTTCAGACAAGGTGTTGGCTTCAACTCAATGCCATTCTTGCTTGGCCCTGAAGACTCTATGCCTGCTCACATTTGGGAGATTTTTCTTTGCGAGTGCTCAAAACCCCCACGCCACATGCGTGGGATTTTCAAGGACCGTTTGCTACAAAAGGATTTGGGCGAAAATCCGCATCGAGCAAAAGTGCGCTCCTTGACTTTAAACTCGATGGCAGAGGCCACAGTTCTACGCATGTTGAAAAGCAAAAACGTCAACACACAAAACGCAACGCTGCGCAGCGCGGCAAACGAGCCGGTGGTTCTTTTGCATTTGTTCAAAA